TTAATATGATGTTTCAAATTTTCCTTTATCCTCCTGTTTGGCTTTGTTTACTTTTCCTTCAAGAATGTCAGCGACGCCGGGAATGCGCAATCTTGCATTCTATCATTCTTGACCGGTAGGTCTATTGTGCCCTTAGCTCATCACAACACCACAACTAGCCCCAAACCCGTGAAACTGCTTCACACTTGAGGATAGGGTGTAATATTTGTCTCTGGCGGAGTCACAAAAGCGACATAGATCGCTGGACCAGATCCCTAGATTGTGCGAGTGTCCCATTATCCTGCAATGACCGGTAAAAAAAAGAAGAATAATTCCTAGTCTCACCTTGGGGAGATTTCCGAGTAACGTATTCTTTTAGGTTGTACTCCCGCTAGTAAACCCGTAGTGTTTTGCGAATGCAGTTCCCTCAGTTTGGTATTTTCCTTTCTAAGCACTTGCATCAACTTCCTCATTTCCTTCGACTCCCATGTGCCCTGGTACCCATATCAGTTGGATAGCAGTGTTCTCAGCCAGGGCATTAAACTTCTCAATACACTTCAATGAGGAACTGACCTCGAAGGATGAGAGAGCCCTGAGTGCCGCCTAACTATCGCTTTGTATAAGGATCCTCTCATTTCAAGAATACCTACGAAGGTTGATGTCTTCGCACTTGCTAAATGGACAGACATCTGCTTGGAAGATGATTAGGAAGGTTTCCAAGGGCACTGAAAGCTGCAATCTATTGCCATATACGACTGCTCCAATACCCTCAGGGGTATTTGATCCGTTAGTGCATTGTACTCATCTGGATGTGCACCTTCATAATAGAGGGACTCCAGGTCGCCTTGCTGTATATATCAACCTAAAAGCTTCTTTCGAAAACTACTCCTCTAAACATATCGTCTCTGGTGAACAAAGCTTGTAGGATCTGGGGCCTAGCTTGTCCCACATCTTAGATGTTAAGACCTTACTTTTTCCAAAGCCCTCTCTCGCGAAATATAAGATGTAGTGGCTGGAGTTGATGCAAACATACGCCAAGCGTTGAAACTGCCTTACCGTTGCCAGAATAGTCTTGTACACCTAAGCCACATTGCCACATTGGTTATTATTGATCGTACTATCATGATCTACAGCCACCTTTGGATCCTTGGCATGCATCCCTAGGATTTTCCCGCTAGACGTTTGCACACCATCAATTCCTTTGTAGCCCCGGAGGTGGCCGCCTCAATATCAGTCCACCACAGGAGTTTGGAGTCTAAGGTAAGACTTCATATACTTGACTTCTGTGACAACATTGACCTCTATCCCATACAAGGCTAAGTTCCTCATCTCCTTGAGAATTACCTTCCTGCTAAAAGGGACAATGGTTGCCGAAGAGGGATTAATATTAAGACCCATATCAGCGCACCATCTTTTTGCTAGATTTAGTCCTTGGAACCTAACAATTTATTACTCAACAGTTAAAAAAATAATTTAGTCGCTTTATTTTGGGTTTTATTAGGTCCAAAATCCATCGATTACATTACTTATGTATGGACATACTACAGTGGCGGATCCAGCGGGGGGGTTTTGTGGGTTAAACTACGTGTCAGTCAGTGGCGGACCCACGGGGGGTGTTTTAATACATAGACGCCATATTATAGATACATATGCGCCCTATTAGTACACTACCCGTGGGTCCGCCACTGGCTGACACGTAGTTTAACCCCCAAACACCCCCCGCTCCCCGCTGGATCCGCCACTGACATACATACATACAAACATAGGTATGTATGTGTAAATATGAGCACGCTCGCCGGCAATGTCGATCGTAGACGCTAATATACTTATGTACTTCAAACATAGACTCCAATTCAGAATTATTTTACAACTGCAATTGCAATAAATCGCATCGACTTCAAGGCTAACTAATCTGGAATAAGTAGCCAACATGATTACTATATTTACTAATGCGTAAACCACATGCGCGCCGAATGGNGAATTATTTTACAACTGCAATTGCAATAAATCGCATCGACTTCAAGGCTAGCTAATCTGGAATAAGTAGCCAACATGATTACTATATTTACTAATGCGTAAACCACATGCGCGCCGAATGAAAAATCAATTTTTTTTTTTAATTTTCGAAACCAATGAAGCATTACATAGCGAACAGAAAAGAGGACAAGGTTAGTTTTAATAAAAAATTACATGAAAAAGAATTTGATGGGATGTCAGTGAGGGGCTATATGTTATAACTAACATTAACCCTTTGCGTAAAAATTCACGATATCGGATGCTATTGTTGAAATAATACTTAGGCGTGTGTACAAGTATACTAATCAGAGGAGTGTTTATTCTAGGTATCAACAAGTATACAATCACTATTATTTAAATTAATCATAAAGATCACTCTGCCAATATTTCAATGTAATTGAGACTATGTTCTTAACACTTTTTGGAAGTATTTGTAGGTCGAAAATCGATAACGCTAACGATATTGATATATCTATCACTTATTACGTGTACTAATATATCGATAAATATAGACATCGAAAACGATATCGATAAATTTGTATATCGATAATACCATTAGTGATATGCATAAACTTGTTTACAGCAATGGATTAACGATATCAACAAAAATATCGGTGATCAAATAGATAGATACATCGACAGTAAGATCTATCATATTTTTCCTCGGGAAGGAACTAGGTATTTTGCTAACGTTTCAACAAGAGATCTTCTTTCGCACTTTTACCTGAATTCCTGAACGATATCGATACTAATATTTATCAAATATCAAATATGTATTTAACAATATAATTATCGTTATGTTTATGTATCGACTACATTATAAGTACATACATGCATTACAATGGCATTATCGCTTCATTTAGTATAATTATTATTAGGGTTCGGAATCTGATGCACTAAAAAATCTAAAACATGCACTCAAAATTCAAAAATATACGTTATAAACAAGTAAAATATGGAAATAAAAATATTTTCCTAATATTTTATTGCCGGTACAAAAATAAATAACAAAAAAATAACGAAAACAATTTACTTAAAAATACAAAGCATATTATGTATAAAATGAGTTTATTACCAAGCAGATAGTTACAATCTTGTGTAAATAGAAACATTGATAGTTTAATAGTGGTTCAGTTGAATGGTTGGTTGATTTAAGTTGATTGTCACTGGTGACTTGGTGACAAGTAATTAGCAAGTTTGCCATTTTGATTCCACAACCCGTACAACCTACAGTCATTTGGCGGATTTGAGGAATTTCGGTACGTCATACAGAGAGAGGCAGCTGCACTCTAAAACATTCTGCAGGAATGGCTTGCCGAGTGTCTTAAGCCTCATCCTTTCGAGGGCTGGACACTCGCACAGAAGAACCAGGACCATTGCAATTGCGACAGAACCTGTTGTTGTACCCCAACGGGCCAGTACCCTGTGTACACTGCAGTAAGTTTGTAGGTATCTTCTTTGCTAATTCCCAAGAAAGCTTTGGTTTTAAGTGGGTCATAGGACACCTCTGCTTGGTCTTCAAGTGATAAATTTCGGTAATTTTTGCGTGGGACACATTAAGTGCGGTACCGCACATTGCTAGTTCGTCCGCTGCCCCGTTTCCGTAAATGTCCCTATGTCCCGGGACCCATATTAGGATAATTTTGTATTAGACAGCTCTCTCCTACAGTACTCCACTAATTGAAATCTAACAGAGGTAGATGATAGTGCCTTAAAATTTCTTGAGTATCCAAGAAGTTATTCACATAAATATTTGGGGAAAAAGTAAAGGTTTTTTTTTTGTCAAGAGATTTCGCTCTAAATTTAAATGGTAGTAAATCAAAAAAAAAAAAAATATGCAAAAACATATGCATTTATTGTAAAATATTCTAAAATATACACAATAAATATGCAGAAACAGTTATTTTTTGCAAGATTTGTAAAACCATGCATTTGCTGCAAAATATGCACTAACGATTGAATGCCATTTTAAAGGAAAATAACCGTTAAATTCAAAATTTTTATTTTTGGATCATTGCAAAATCGTTACTTTTTATTTTCAACCAAAATAACCGTTAAATTGGGATTTTTATTTCTTCGGTCAAATTTAATTGTTCTTTTTTATNAAAATATTTTCCTAATATTTTATTGCCGGTACAAAAATAAATAACAAAAAAATAACGAAAACAATTTACTTAAAAATACAAAGCATATTATGTATAAAATGAGTTTATTACCAAGCAGATAGTTACAATCTTGTGTAAATAGAAACATTGATAGTTTAATAGTGGTTCAGTTGAATGGTTGGTTGATTTAAGTTGATTGTCACTGGTGACTTGGTGACAAGTAATTAGCAAGTTTGCCATTTTGATTCCACAACCCGTACAACCTACAGTCATTTGGCGGATTTGAGGAATTTCGGTACGTCATACAGAGAGAGGCAGCTGCACTCTAAAACATTCTGCAGGAATGGCTTGCCGAGTGTCTTAAGCCTCATCCTTTCGAGGGCTGGACACTCGCACAGAAGAACCAGGACCATTGCAATTGCGACAGAACCTGTTGTTGTACCCCAACGGGCCAGTACCCTGTGTACACTGCAGTAATTGTTCTTTTTTATTTTTTTTTTTAACAAAATTGATAATTTTGAATTTTTATTTTTTTTTGTTTGATCGAAAAAGTAAAAGTAAAAAGTAACGATCAAAAATTTGTCGGAAAAATAAAAATCCAACAAGCGAGTGATCTGGATCGAAAAAATGAAAATCATAAAATAACGGTTAAATTATGATTTTTATTGTAAATATCATAACCGTTACCGTCCCTGATACATAACTTTATTGCTGCTAATATTATATTATATCGATGTTATCGAAATTTACTTACTGATAAATGTTTTTAAAACCCAAACCAAATCAAAAACATTTAATTTCCTATTAGAACTAAATTCTTAATATAAATGTACAACAACTACTGTAACATATGTAAGCATATTACTAATTTTAAATTTTTTCCTACTCTTCTCATTCCAGCTGTTCGTTATGGTCGCGTACCGAAGCGTTCACGTGAGCTAAATGGCACACCTTCGTCTACGGATGATCCGAATGTCATTGTGCGTGTGAGTACACCGAATACACCGCAAACGCCACAAATGTGTTCAGTCGCCTCGTCACCCTCGGAATTGGGCTGTACGGGCCAAAGTAGTGTCGCTAACACAGCCAACACACCCGGACCGGGTGGCGTTGGTGGTATGGGTGTGGGTGTTAATATGAGTGTCAGTGTTGGTGCCGGCGGTGCTGGCAGTATGATGGGACAATGCGGCAATGTTAACGTTAATGTCAGCGGTATGAATGTAGTTGGTGGCGGTGGAAATATGAGCATTACGAATGCTGATAATAGCGGTTGTGGTGTTGTCGATATGCAAGGGACAACCGCTGAACTGACCGTTTATGATGTGATTATGTGCGTCTCACAGGCGCATCGTATGCACTGCTCATATACGGAGGAGCAGACACGCGAACTGATGCGGCGACCAGTGGCGGTGCCGCAAAATGGAGTAAGTATATATGTATGTATGTATGCATGCATGTACATAGGTAGATAAACTCAAATTTTTTTTTCTAAATACACAATTCTAACATTTTGTTCTTCAATTTTCATTTTTAGATTGCCACTTCAGTATCGGAAACAATGGAATTTCAGAAGATTTGGCTGTGGCAACAGTCTGCGGCGCGCGTTACACCCGGCGTTCAACGCATCGTCGAATTCGCGAAACGTGTGCCCGGCTTCTGTGATTTCACACAAGACGACCAGCTGATACTCATCAAATTGGGCTTCTTCGAGGTGTGGCTCAGCCATGTGGCACGCATGATAAATGACGCAACATTGACATTCGATGATGGCACTTATCTGACACGACAACAACTCGAAATTCTCTATGATGTAAGTAAAAAAAAAATACATAACTAGTTAACTATTCCATCGACGGTCAGGCTGCAATAGAGGCGCTACTATCGCACAGCACTTCCTTAAGAAGTGTGACGGAATGCAGGGCAGCTCTGGATTTACTACATACTTGTACTGACGCACATCTGTACTGAGTTTCGAGGCACACCGGCCGTGGCATCTCGGTCAACGATGAGGCCGACAGGCTTGCCAAATAAGGCGCCGTGCCGGAAACTATGCTGATGGAAGTACTGATGTCCCTCCAAGCTCACGAGGTTTCTCCTTTTCCTCAAGAAGGAGGACGCTAGGCTCCTGGTGTGTGTTCTAACGGGACATTTCAAGCTGGCCCCGACCAATGATAAGACTTGTAGGGGTTTCAGAACCAGTGTTAACACCGATAATAGTGTCAGCATGGAAATCCAACTCAGAATCACTCATGCCAAAAGTGCTACATTGGACTAAGGAGTCAAGTCCTCTGTCGAAGTATGAAAACCACACTCTATAAGTCACTCAGCATGCCCGTGCTGGTATGTGGCGCAGAAGCATGGACAATGACAACATCCGATGAGGCAGCTCTTGGAGTATTCGAGAGAAAGATTTTGCGAAAGATTTACGGGCCTTTCCGCATTGGCAACGGCGAGTACTGCAGACGATGCAGTTAATTAAGATACAGCGCTTCCGCTGGCTTGGCCATGTCGTTTGACTGGACACTGACGCTCCAGTCCTGAACCTGCTAGTGGTAGCAGAGGAAGTGAGAGGCCCCCACTTTAATGAAGAGACCAAATGGAGAAGATTGGCTTCACTTTTCATTTGGCATCAGTTGGCACAGAAGAGAAAGACTGGCAGGCTTTGTTGAACTCGGCCAAAGTGGCTTAGGCGGTTACATCTCAAAACTATAAGAAAAACATGCAGAACGAAAGATGAGAAAGTCGGGCATATCCTCTGCGAGTGTCCTGCCCTTAGCAGACAGAGGATTAGTCCCCTGGGAACCTGGATACAGGAAGGTGTTCCAGTTTGCTAAGAGGACTGCGATGTCCTTCAAGCATTTCCCCCGGTACTCAGTGATTAGCTGTCTAATGTGGTCGTAGTATATCTGGTAATGCTATGGACCTTAATTGTCTATGCGAAGCAATGCAGTTAACTAACCTAACCTATTCTGCCCACAAAGTCTTCATAAATATATAGGCAGCCTTCACAATAATGGAAAGAAACGAGTTATGGTCAGCCGTGGAGCCCACACATATCACCAAGACCTTTTGAGCCCCGGCTTACTAATGGAATTATGAAATTGCAGAGATACGAAAATGGGCAGCTGACAACAGGCTGCGAATCCTCAGCGAACAGTGAAGATAGAGAGCTAAAGATAATAGCTACTCAAGCCAGAATCGCTGACTCTAAATCACCGGGATGAGACGGAATTCTTCTAAGGCATGTAAAGGACAAAGCCTCGGAAACCAATCTGGCTTTCGTAAGTCTAGGTTGACCAATAAACGCACTTCTAAGAGTGACAGGTTGTCCTTCTTGATATGCAGTTACAGTTGTGAAACTAAGTATACCAACTTCTACCCTACATCTGCGCTAACGAAATCTGGATAACGTGAGCAACCCATGTTCGAGATGCGGTAGCCTTGTTTCACTAGAAGGTGCGGCTACAAATGGCTGGCAGTCTTGGAGCAAGCGACTCTTGATATAAATTACACATAAAACCCCAAATGGTGCGTGCGGTTTGAGGCCCGTCTGAGTTAGAAAGTCCAAGTTGTGTTCATTATTGGTGGCAGTTTGCTCATGAAGGAAAACACGCAAATGGACATTAGATTTTTATAGGTAAATCTAAAATATCAGAAATGTCTATAATCGAAACTGGTCAGGAAATGTGTGGCTGCTCTCTCAGTCCCTTCCGTTTACTTCCAAAGCAGTCTGATTGGATATTAGAGCACAGAGGCATCGAAAAAATTACATGGCTGATAGATTTACCAGAGAATATATAGGAGTCACTGTACCAACCTGTGGACTGCTAGTATAGAAATGGGTTTTGAGTCTCCTTAGCGAGCGCTGCGCGAAAGCTCCGACTTGCAAAGTCCTCCTGGTGATTAAAGGCGCTTCTCAAACTAGCCAAGCGAGGATGTCGAAGTGGAACTACTTCTCAGCTGCTGTGCTTTCGTATGGCTAAAGTTTAAATACCTAAGCTCATATTTTATTAAACCTTCCACGGAACTGCGAACTGCCTGCAGAACTTCATGTAAATATATCACGACGAGTTCACGTTCCCTGAAATGCTTTCATCTAACCTAACCCTGACTTAACCCAATCTAAAATCACAGGCGAAAGACAACTTAAGGAATAGAGCTATATTCATCGCGCAGTCACTATGAAATACATACAAGCTCAATCACGATATATGAACGCCGGGGTTTCTTCTCGCAAAATGCTAATAGAGTGCTTAGACAAGCGGATGATAAATACAAAGCTGGACACGCAGCCCAAATCTTGACATAGCGTAATCTTACGTTAGCAAATACTGTGACTTCAACTACTATCTGGCTCCATCCTTATACGATCACGGAAATTTAAAAAAATATTACTAACCGTAGGCGAGGAAATTATCCTTCTTATTGCGTCGTGAACAAACCTTTGCAACTGCTTAAATTGTGAGAAAACATAGCATTTCCACCTCATCATAAAGTAAACAAATGAAAAATGGACTGAGTCGTAGTCTCCCCAATTGGATTATAATTGGACAGAGTGCGACTGAGACTTCTTTGTCGAAAGGACGACGAACCAAACACCCGTTTTTAAACATTGAAGAAATGCCGCTAAAAGATAATTGTATGGCCGACTTAAGAAACTCCTCTAATTCCGTTAGCCACTGGGGTACTCGGGGGGGGTTTTTAGACATTGAAGACGTCTTTGATAACATCTCACACCAGGTGTATATCGAGCTGTAGATAAAGAAATGTAGCCACTCCGATTCGAAAGTGCATCGGTTGCATGCTAAGAGCCAGACTAGTAGAGACTGTAGCAGGTAATAATATAATACAGCTGAGGACAGAAAAAGGCTGCACTGAGAGGGGTTGTACTGACCCCTCTCACAGCGACGAGCAAATTTTAAAACACGCTCTGCGACATTTTGCAAGAGAACTCATTCTAACTACTGGTATGGCATGGTGGTTCTTAACATCAACCCTGCCAAAACAGCCATCATCCGGTTTACCAAGAGAAGGAACCACCTTCCAGGCATGCACTCTCTTATAAAACTGGGAGGTATAGAGATAGAAATGTACAATTAAATAAAATATCTGGGAGTAATTTCCGACTACAAAATTTTATGGAAAAATCAGACTGGTCATAGGAGTGCAGTCCTGACATTTTGCGATAGATGTACACAATGATTGTCAGGCCAATAGTTACATATGGAGCAGTGGCATGCCCCGAGTGGTAGCGGTTCTATCCATACAGTAAGGGCGACTGGCGTGCACCTGCATAACCTGACACCCACAGGTGGTTCAAAGACGGCTCAAAACTGACGAAGGTATAGGGGCAGGAATATACGGTCCCAAAGCCAATATCCCCATTCCCTTGAGGAACTACCCTGGTATCATTCAAGCGGAGGTTTTTGCCATTAATGTTTGTGGAAATTAATTGGGAATTATTCCGCAGAGATAATCAAGTAGATAGCCCATTATCTACTGCAGTGACAGTCAATCTGCACTAAAAGCTATATCGTCGTGTGAGATTAAATCACGGGTGGTATGGGAATGTGTGACAGGATTGAACACCCTGGAGGAACACCACACCGTGCATCTACTGTGGGCCCCGGGCTGACAGACTAGCTATTAAAGCAGCAGCCGCTCGACCTATAAGAGCAGAAGCCTTCATACCATTCGAGCCGCATACTATCAGGGAAGAGTTAAATATGAGCAGAAAAACGATGGCTAAGTAGAATACATTGCGAAAACATATTTGAACTAAGACAGGTCAAAGAACTTCTAGAAAGCAATAACGCCAAATAATCCAAGGAACTAATCACCCTCCACAAGACTAATTTGAGATTTATAACAGAACTGCTAACAGGTCACTGCAGAATGCGAGCCCATATGCATACCAGGGGGATTAGTGCGGTAGTGACAGTGTATCAGAAATCTTACGGCATCTCCTCTTGGAATGTAATGCGATGGCGAGAAGAAGACTGACACATCTGGAAAGGGAGGTTTCGCACATTCACTCTCTACCGCCCTCGAAACTGCTCGGTTTCATCAGAGCACTAGGGCTGGACGGGGGGTGGTGATGAGCTCTGTGTGGGCACAATAGATCTAAGATCGCAGTGTACATAATCTAACAAATCTATCTATCTATCCAGCCACTGGGGCCTCGTCTTGTCTAGACAATTCGTGAGCAATTTAGTTCTGTGAAACGTCAGCCAAAAACAGCATATTCAGAATATATTCCTTATGGTCCGGAAGAGCAAGCTGGCCTTTTCTGATTAGTTTCAAAATAGCTAAATACTTTTTTAGACTTCAACAGGCCTGTTTGGTGATTCTTATTCTATAAATCGAGTTTTTTCGGTAACTGATATTCTATGGTGATCCTTGGTATACCTACCGCGCCCATTTCTAAAAGATGTTGGTGGTCGTACATTCCCAAGCCAATTCGTCAGTTTGCAACTACGCTCATAATCCAGGTGTCCAAACACCCTTAAGGATTGAATTCTACAATGCTGGGCCAAAATGCCAGAGAACTCTGCAAGTTATTAAAATAAACATCAAATTTACAAATTTACATATAATAAAATTGTGACATAGCCCAGTAAAATTAGACTTTTTCTTAAAAATNAGTTATTAAAATAAACATCAAATTTACAAATTTACATATAATAAAATTGTAACATAGCCCAGTAAAATTAGACTTTTTCTTAAAAATAATTTGTAACAGCAATTTTTTTATGCAGTTTACTTCTATTTGACACGTAGATCATGGATCCACAGTCTTGCCCCTAAATTTCATTTGGCAACATTCCACCATCTTAGATTTAAGTTTTTTTTTGGGTTTTTGCGAGTTGCCAGCTTATTTTGCATTTTTCGTAAAAACTGGTTAAATGCAAATATGTAGAGAATTTAATTTCTAGTCAGTGGGATCCTCGGTTCGAATCCTACTGAAAGAAGTCTGATGAGGAAATGTGGTGATTTCCGAAATAGCTATCACTTCTACCATTTTTTCAAATTATTGTTGCTTTTCCACAATAAGTTTTTCATTAAAAACGGCCTCAATCTCAATAAAGAATTGTTGAATATAATTGTTACAAGGCCATAAAATAACAAAAACGAAGAGTTTTTTATTGTAATTTGTATTAGCAAAATCTGCGAAAAAATTTTACATTGTCACGGTTTTTGCCATTTTTTGACATTTTCTGTTGAAAATACATTGCATATTGAAATTCCAAAGGTGTAGAGAATTTCATTCTCCAAACTTTTGTGCCTACATTTTTTTTTGTACGGAAATGAGTTTTACCGCGCATCCCGTACATTGCTATGTTTACCGCGTTCCCGGCCGTGATGTAAGCGTCGTACAAAAAAAATTTTGGTATAAGAGTTGAGTTGAGAGTTGAGAGTGAAGAATGAAATTCTCTACAACCCTGGAATTTCAACATCCTATGTATTTTCAACAGAAATTGTTAAAAAAAATGGCTAAAACCGTGAATATAAAATTTTTTAGCAGTTTTTGATAATTTTTTAAAATAAAAAAATGCTATTTTTAAAAAAACCTTCTATATAACAAATGTGGAAAATTAAATTCTCTACATATTTGTATATAACCATTTTTTACGAAAAATGCAAAATAGGCTTGCAAATCGGAAAAACCCAAACTTAAAATTCAAGATGGCGGAATATTGCCATATGAAATTTAGGGGCAAGACTGTGGATCCATGATCGACGTGTCAAATAGAAGTAAATTGCATCAAAAAATCGCTGTTACAAATTTTTTTCAATTTTCCTACCAAATTTATCTAATTTTACTGGGCTAAACAGGCCGATGTTGGTGAACAATAGATATTAAAGGAAAATTAATATGGGTATCTTTATTAGAGCAACAGAAGCCAAATCAAGAATTTTTACAATTTTTGTCAGTCTGTCTGTATGTTTGTACGCGCATCCCTTGCAAACTAATGCATAGAATTGAATTCAGTTTTCACTGATGTATTTCTAGAAGTCTAACTTAAAATATAGAAATAAAAAGTTGAGAGTTGCCACCTGTTTGATAATTGCAGTTTAAGTAAATTGATAAGATAAAGTAAATATTCCAATATGGCTGTTAAAAGAAAGAGGTTTGAGAAGACTTACATCCGAAAACTTTTTTGTGGAAAGTTGCCACCTGTTTGAAAATTTTAATTTAATTAATAAGATAAATTGAATATTGCAATACGGGTATCAAACTGAAGATGTTTAGGAAAGTTAACTGCCCAAAATATTTTTGAGGAGCGTTGCCATTTGTTAGAAAAAATGTATTCAGATAAATTCATAAAATAAATGAATTAATACAATATGAGTATCGAAAAACATAAAAATACTTTTAAGGCGCAGTGAAGCACGCTGGGTATTTGCTAGTTTTCTTATAAAATAAGTTTTTCAATGTACTAATTCAAATCTTTCTTTTTATTTTCAGAATGACTTTGTCATCTCGCTGGTGAATTTCGCCAACACTCTCAACAGTTACGGCCTAAGCGATACCGAAATTGGCCTCTTCTCTGCCATGGTATTGCTCGCCTCCGATCGCTCCGGCCTCGCTGAACCGAAAGTGATTTCAAGATCGCGCGAACGCGTATCCGAAGCGTTACGTGTCCAGTTGGTACGTTCACGTGCCGGTTCCACACAAGCGCTACAACTCATGCCGGCACTGGAGGCTAAAATACCCGAATTGCGTTCGTTGGGCGCCAAACATTTTTCACATTTAGACTGGCTGCGAATGAATTGGACTAAACTGCGATTGCCACCACTGTTTGCGGAAATTTTCGACATACCCAAAACGGAAGATGATCTGTGAAGGAATCAACAACGGCGATGCGATGCAGCGTAAGCGCGAAACATTACTCAAAGAGTGGAAAATGCATTGGAAGGGGAAGGAAGTGCCGCAAAAGACGATAGAGTGTGGAAACTGGGAAATGAGCTGAGTTAAGCGACGTAGGGTAGAGGAGAAGAGGGAGGGGAACTTTCGTGTGGCAACTGTGCAAAATGTGAAAGTCTTAAACAGGCAACCAGTGAGCAAGCAAAGATTTTTTGAATCTACATTATAAAAAAAAACCTAAACAAAATATACCGTATGTTTTCTAAACTTAGCGTGAGTAGTTTGTAAGCAAAAATTAAAAAGAAAAACAAAACTTTAACTAATTTATATAGCAGAAATTTGGAGGAAATTTAAGTGAAAAATTTTAGTTTTGATTTTATATTCTCTAAGTGATCGTGGAGCGATTACAAACGTTTGTAGTTAGAGCGCTGAGTTTTTTGTTTCTTTTTGAGTTATAAAATTTATTTTCTAGAAACTCTAATAAATGTGTTTATGGGAACTAGATACCAGTTTTAACTAAGCATACTTACAAGCATATGTAATTTTAATGAAGTGAAAAATACATACATACATAAATATATAAATATCATGTGATCATGCCACAGACAGATGTAACATTGCAATATCAGAAAGTGAAATCTTGATAACACAAAAATGTAGTAGTACTTTTAGGCAAAATAAAAAATTTAAACATATATAAATTCAGCGCTAGAAATGGCATAAAATTCAAAATTATAACATATTGGTGAATAATTACATGCATACATATACGTATGTATGTATGTGCATTAAAATTAACGGTATCATTATAAAATGTGGCACAAAAAACTATAAATCTACTAAACACAAACGCCACGCCCTAAACCAATCAAATTTACGCGTTCTAAGCAATGCCACAACACTGCAAATACACTGAGAAAAATCATTTTAACGAATGTTATGCAATATTTTGATTTTAACAAACTACATACATACATAATTAAGCTTAAAGTAGCAATTTAAATGGATGAAATTACAAATATTTACATACACACATATAGCATATACGAAGTAATTATAAAAAATTTGTTATTTGCTAAAAACTTTTATGAGCGAAGAAAATATACTTTCAGTTTTTTTAAGCAACAGTAATATGTTTTCTTTTTTTAAGAACTTGCTTAGCAGCCAATTTTACGCTAACAAAATAATAAAATTTTATGTGGCATTAATCAGCGATTCAAAAATTTAATAAAGAAAAAATCATGGAAAACTGAAATTATTAGCGAATAGTGAAAAAAGTTACATCTCTAAATCTCAATTGTTAAAAATGTTACACTTAAGTTAAAAGCATACATACATACATATACGATATATGGTATAGTAATAATAATAATAAACATACATAAGTACATATTAGTATCCATAGTAACCATCTCCACTCCAATTGAAAAAAAAATCGTATCGAACAAAATAAAATAGAAATTATGTAAATGTAAATAAGAATACCAATAGGAAGTCTATAAAATATGATTTATATATTTAAATATTGCTTTACAAAATTCTATAAACTCACACCGAAATAAAATTTAGCTATCCAAATAAAAAAAAAATGGTTGACTTGCATATAACAATTACGCTAAACAAAAGCGTCTTACAAATAACAAGCAGAACCTATTTAAAAGAAATTTTAAAAAGTAAGCTCTAAAAGTTTCGCTTAGGCGGTTTTCTAAAATACATACATACATACTAAAAAAAACACAATCTTTCCGTACCATTGTAGCTATTCTAAAATTTATTAAAACTTTTTTGTTTCATGTCTAGCCTGTTGGCTTTAAACTCGTTTAATTTTTTGTCGGAAATTTGCAATTTAGCAGTAAGTTAATCAGCACTTCCAAAGCAACTAAATCATTCATACGACCATTGAAAAGCAGTTTTTTGCAACAAAATAAAAACCTAACAAGCTACTAACTAATGGCCCACCATCATCACATACAACTCGCAAAATATTTATTTCATTGCGTCTCATCAAAAAAGTTTAAAGTTTAGCGTTAAAATTTTTTTAACACTTCCCTAAATCTAATTAAACCAAACTGAAGGTTTCACCTCAACTCAATTAACACCTAAACCTATGTTTAACTGCATACATATATACATAAATGCAAATGGAAGTGTAGGTATGTATGTATGCATACATATACGANGCATACATATATACATAAATGCAAATGGAAGTGTAGGTATGTATGTATGCGTACATATACGACATATTTATATGTACCAGTGTTCGACACTTTGGGGCATCAGCTACCACTAAGTTGAGGTTTTACTTTCGAAATCTTCCAAAATAAAGAATGCGCTGACTTTCATACTGACTTAGCCTTACTAAACTATGTACATATACTATGTTTACAATTAAAAAAAAAAACTCTAAAATATATATTAAGTATCATTGTGAGCATTGTATTTCACTCATTCAAAATATGTATGTATGTACATCAATGCTTTCGCATGCATAGATACATATTTTAACATTTTATAAATAAACATTCATTCAACCATATATATACATACATACATACATTCATAGGTTCATATGTTCATATGTGCATCCAAAATACAAATTTAAATATACCGCTTTCGTCCTTCTCATTGAAATATATGTGTGTAAATGTATAAGTTTCCTGTTTTTTTTGTAATTTGTTTATATACAATATAAGAGTTTGTATACATAAGCATCTACATATGTATTTTTTATTGATATTGCATTAAGGCCTGAGTATATGTATATTGTAAGTGGCAATCACAGCAACAACACTGCGCATTAATTATTATTTTGTTTGTATTGAATATTTTTTATACATACATGCATACGTATATCATATAATAGCTGCATAAAAACAACAATATTTTACTTTTGAAATTTGAGCATTCAAGTAAAAAAGAAAAAACTAAATAAAAAGCAAACGACTACAAACCATTATTAGTTATGTAGATATACATACATTTTTTTTCTAAATAAAACTTCAACTTTTATTACATAAACAAGGATTTTGTTATGTTTTATTTTATCATAAAAATTAAACTCAATAAATTAAATTTATCATCTCAAATTTATTTGATTTTGCAGTGCTAAGGAAAATTAGAGGAAAGTTAAGTACAGAAATGTCAAACAAATTTGTTTGGGGCTATTTTCCCTATTTCAGCATATTATTTGATATTGAATTTTTCTTAGGATATTTAGCTAAATCTTAGCTGCTATACCGTATGAAGTTTTTAGCAGATTTAACCAGTTTTTTTCATGAAATGAATCTCGCAATCGCTTATGTATGTATATCACTGTTTTGCTAGAATTTCTCACATATAAAGAAATTTTATAAGTATGAACACGTTATAACTGCAATTGTGATCGAATAGCTGTAAAATGCAAGCATGCACCGGCCGGCTATTAAAAAGCTTGCAATTTTACTGTGCGCGTAATTTGCACTTTTTAAGTGGCAAATTTTGCGAAAATTAAAACAAAAAACGTGCCNGTGATCGAATAGCTGTAAAATGCAAGCATGCACCGGCCGGCTATTAAAAATCTTGCAATTTTACTGTGCGCGTAATTTGCACTTTTTAAGTGGCAAATTTTGCGAAAATTAAAATAAAAAACGTGCCAGTAGTGTACATTTGAACATTCAAGTAAAAATTATATATTCGTAGTGTAAAAATAATAGTCTAAAATAATAGTATGACTTCAACTACTTAATGGCCGTATATCGAGAAATAGTGTTTTTTCTCATTTCAATGCTTAAAATCGGAAAAATGTTCGATATACATATGTATATGCAAGTTAAAGCAGTATTACTTCGTTTTTACGAAAATACACCAACATCGATAGCCTCCGGTAACCGCATGAAATAACCTCAAATAGAACTGTCGCAAAATTGTATTGGGTTCGACTCGTTTCCGGTTGTGCGTGTGAATGATAACAGCTCTGACGCAGTACTCCATGAACTTACACGTTTTACACGAACTTGCAGGAAGTTACAGGAAAAATGATCCCGTACTCTAAATTCCTCCAAAATCCTGTAAATGAGAACGATTTTTGGAGAATTGTGTAGGGAATGAAGTTGCAAGATTTTAACCGAACTTTTTCTTCTGGTAAAATCATGAAAAGTGTCAAGCGAAGGAAAAATGCTTTTTTTGTTCCCGTACTTTTTGTTGTTACTCACTTTTTACTCTCACTTCAGAGAGTAATTTTGCTGTTTGCCATTTTTACAGGATTTTACACGAAAAGTATTGGATCAGAGCTAACGTAAATAAAAGTGTCAGGTGGAAATTTTAATAAACAAAAGGTTTTAAATGAAATAATTTGTCAATTTGTTATTTAGAAGTCATCGTTCTCCACTCCAAAATATCCATACCACATTGGCAAGCAGATTCTTGAAATATGTCCATAACAACATATCTACATAAACGAGCGAGGCATCCAAATACGTACGTACTTATAGAGTTTTATTTTCTCGACATTCTGCCCTGCGCTAGGGCTGCCAAGTTTCGTATTCTTCTCTCAGCATCATCACGTTCATATTGCGTGCTCTTTCTTTAAAATGTTGCCATATAAGAAGGTGAAATTTTTTCCAGAATAGAAAACGCCTTTAGTTATTTAAGTCACTTTGCATTTCATTTTTCTGTTATCATTATAATACCCATTGCTTGGAGTATTTTTTTTTTAAATTACGTACTCTCATCTGTACACAGGGTCTAGATAAATAGGTATGCGCATGCATACATTATTCTAAAACTAAACCTCTCACCCGACATATTTTAATCTCTTTGCCGTAAACCAACGCTTCTAGATACCTCTTTTGATTCTACATAAATATTTGAAACGTTTTCTTTATTTAAGTCATTGAAATTCATATGTATAATGTACATCATTAGGGTGCATATGAAAAAGTAAAGTCGGAATTTTTATGCTCTCACCCCCTAGGATTGTTCTATACCGAAATCAAAAAATATTTAGAGGTCGCTCAAAGCGCTTAAAGTTTTCCATGTATTTTTTATGGGGAAAAAACAATGGAAATGGTATAGAATCCTTAAAAATCAATAATTTTCTATCGGAGAACTCTGTTTATCTGCAGGAGATTCCCAATAATAATACTCAAATGTTTATTCAACCATTTTTTCATTGCAACTATTATTTATAGGTCCGCCAAAAACCAAGGGAATGGAATGACCAATAAAAATCGTTAGTATTAAAAATTGTTAAATAAACAATTGGGTATTATTATTGAAAGTCTCCTGCAGAGAACCAGAGTTTTCCGATCGAAAAATATTGATTTTCAAGAATTCTATACCATTTCTACGAAAAGTTGTTTTTTCCCATATAAAAATACATGGAAAACTTTGAGCGCTTTGAGCGGCCTCCAAATATTTTTTGATTTCAAAATAAATAAAAAATAGGGGTCTACTTATTTCGTTATAGAACAATCATAGGGGGTGAGGGCATTACAATTCCGACTTTACTGTTTTTGGACCACCGTAATGTACATACATACATGCGCTGCTTGCGGCCGACTGCAAACTTTTCACTTGAAATTGATACAAATGTTTGAGGAGTGCTAAAATTTAAGTACCCATGTAAAATCTTGCCCTTATTTAAGAAATGACTTTCACCCGTGTAAGTACATCAAAATAAACACAAAATTAAAAGTGCTATATCTAACTTATTTATTGGGCGATTTGGCTGCTTTTTATAATATATACTGGTTATGTACGCAGAAACATTTTTGCCAAAAGTTATCTCGTTAGGTGGCGCTAGAGTCGAAATATTTTGAAACACCGTATTTATGCTCTGATTTGTTTCACATTTGGCATGATTAGTTGAAACGTAATAAGTCAGGGCTGGCTAACCTAAGGCACGCATAATTTAGGCACGGTATTAATTGAGGACCCAATTCCTTAATTACCAGTAGTAGTTTTTTCTACCTAATCAACACAATTTCTCTTTTTTGTTTAAATTGGAAATCAAAGCAAGATCTACTCACACCCAAGAAAAGAGTTCGGAAGAGCCAAAATCCACATGAGACATTCGATTCTTGAGTTCTGTTACATCATTAATCAATAAGCTTTGTGCGAAAAGCATTGCTTCGTCTCCCTTGGTGATCTAATGGCCTCCGTTCTCAAAAATAATAAACCTCATATCTTCGGAGGCATTAAATAAACGAAGGTTTGAGGCTTTATTCGTCTTTATTTTGACTATAAATACGGCCCATTGTTTCCAAAAATTGCAAATGTTTGCCAAACTTAACAAATTTAAAATCAGATTTGATTTAGATCAAAAACCAGACAGACCAAATTCCCTCATCGACGAATTTTCATCGAGGTTTTCTGAATTCAAGGAGTTATCGGAAACACTCAAATTTATTATGTATAGTTATATGACTTCACTTGATAAACTGAACTTGTTTCAATTTGTTAATACTAAAATTTTAGAAACTTGGAATTTAATTCCAGACATATTAGCTGTCTACAGAAGCTGTCGTTTGCACACAAGGTACACAGAGACATTTAAGAGACCATTAGATTTGTTACATAAGAAATTCATACTTATATGAAAAAAGTGCAAAAATCCGTAAAAAAAATTCTCAAAAATCAACGCGATTTTTTAGCCTTTTGAAACTTGCACTATAAAACTGCATACCCAAAAATTTTCTAAACACTGAATAAAAATTTGAAATTTTTATGAAAATTTGTTGAATTTTCCTAAATTTTGTATAAAGTTTGAATCTGTGATTTACACGATTTAGACGTTATTTTTATATAAAAATAACAAAAAATATTTGGATGGAAAAATATTACGAATATAAAAAAAAATTATGCTCGAAAAACATATCGAATATTAGAGGAAATCAACCCGTGTTTATTTGTTTGAGTCACTGTATACATTAGGCTGGGTCAATTTTGTATGGGGGAAAATAAAACGCATTTGATCGCACTGTAATAGTAATATTATATTGTCTTAATTGTCTAATCCAATAATAATTGGCAACGAAAGATTAATTTAAAACATATCTTTAACCCGCGCAATTGATTCAAAGTTTATGAATTTGGAAAATTAAACTTTGGCTGGTAATATCTAGGGAATGTTATGTACTAGACGATATATCAAGTGAAAGGTTATTAAATTGAGTATCTCACGTTCATATATCATTCTTCAATAA